TCCACATTTTTTGTCCATAACTTCTATCTACATAGTATGAAACTAAAAAGAGATGTATATTTTTTTTTCCAATTTAATATGCAGTTTGTGAATATGAAAGCTATATATATAATAACATTTAAAAAACTATATAATAGGTTAGATTGGGTATGTGATATAAATTCAATCCAACCATCTTAAACATATTTGTAAAACATTCCTATGTGAATATATTTGCAAAATATTTTCATAACAATTATACAAAAGACTTTGAATTAATTTATTAACATTATAATAGAATATTTTATAAAGTTTAAAATAATAAAACAGTAATTTGAGATAAATTTGTAAATTTGTAAAATAAGATGTAGTAATGAAAAGTTGTAAAAAAGAATATTTCGATAATATTTTTTTTAGTTTGAGATTGAGCTTTTCATTTTCTCAATCGCTATTCGCCGCCCCCTTTTACTAGTCACCGCCCCCCCCTCTATTTACTCTTTTGCCCTTAACCTTTTTTACGCCCTTACAATTTACTAATACTAACATACACACTTGTACTGGTGGTTAAATTCGACATTTAATAAATCCGACATTGTCCACATGGGTAGGTGACATTCACCCATAAATATCCACATTACCACAACTCAAAGTCTATTCACTGTCTAGTAATTGTCTTTAGTGAAAATTAATTTAAAATATATTAATGCAAAAGTTAAATTTTAATATAGATTGAACAAATAATGTGATATAGTATATTAAAAATTTATATGAATGGTTAAACGACATATTTTGTTTGCATCACAAAGATATGTATATATTTTTACCTAGTTTATGAAACAAAAAACTACTATTCATAATTAAAATTTAAGTTTTATTCTCCTCTTTCGTTGATAAATGTACATTTGAATAACAATATACGTAACATACGAAAATGTAAAAAATCAATCTATCTTTTTGGATACTTGAAATTATATTTGTTCATTTTTGTAAGATGAACAAAGTACAATATATTAATTAACAATTTTTAGAAAATAAATTGAAATAAATAGAAGCAAAAATGACGTCCTTAAATGCTCGTCATTAGCTAAACTAGCCCGTGTAGTTTTGAGTCCCAACTACGCCCGGGCATACGAATATTTATAGTAAATACTAAATAGTGAGCCCCGGCTTATGTGTGTATCTGTATCTATCATTATTTTACATATTTTCTGAACTTTAACCCATAAGAATATTTTGTAGTTATTAATTGACTTAAATCCGTATATATCCACTCTATATATAATATATATATAATTTTATAATGCGCTGAGCTTACGTGGCAAACTCTCATGCTTCGAAATCCGGCAAAAGATCATGCTTTGGAGTTAGACTTGGATATAAATTAATATTTATATTAATTGCATTTTAATATCGTTTTCTATTACAACCATTGAATTAATAATATATTTTAAAAATTGATAACTTTTGTACTTATTATCGGTTTTACATATATAATATATCAAATTAATCATCTTTTGATGAGCTTCGATTTGACATCCATATTGTATATATAAAATAAATAAATTATATTTATCTTCATAATAATAAAAAAATTATTTATTAAAATTAATTAGAAAATAAAATTATTATCAATTAATATATTTATGTTTAATGTAGTTATATGTTATAAGGTAGAAAATTTATTATAATAAAAATATTTTTTTATATAAATTCTAAAATTACATATAAAGTTAAAAAACTGTGAAGCATGACTGATACGACACTTGATGTATTAGACATCTAATTAAGTAAAAAAATTAATCTATTTTGTTTACTATTAAATAAACATATTCTATACTTATGCATATACATATCACCATATTATTTATATTTATTTAAGGTATATATTTTTGAACTTATGTAATAGTAAATAATATTGATATTTTTATATGATAGAAGTAAAAAAAATTCAACACCGGTTGACATTTTCATTTAATTAAGTAAAAAAGATAATCTATTTTGCTTAATATTAAATAAACATATTCTCCACTTATTCATATACATATCTGACCGCGTGTCGCAACGCGGCAAAATTATAATTTATATTTTTCCTCAATTAACCTCTACTAACTAGTAGTAGCGGTAAGTAAGGGGCAAAATTATAATTTATATTTTTCCTCAATTAACCTCTACTAACTAGTAGTAGCGGTAAGTAAGGGTCGATCCCACGAGGAGTGTGAACCAAATCGTGAATTTTCTCATATTAATTGAATTGTAAAAGCAGTAAAAGAGGGGGGATTTTGAATTTATAACTAAACTAACTAAAAATGAAATATAAATAAGAAAATAAAAATAAAATAAATTAAGAGAAAGCTTCTAGTTCACGGTTCCGTCTACACCCTCGACTGACTCGTCTAATCAACTTTGGTATCAAATCTCGCTATCTCATTAAATTACTAGCCCTAGGTAACGACACGGTCTGTTACCAGAATTTTTCCTTATTTTTAATTCAACCGCGAGACGCTCTACGATTAAACCTGACTTCTTGTACAATCCAGAAAAACATTTTCAAGATTTAATACAATTAGCCGCTTTAAGAATTAGAAAAATAGGCTAGACTAAGTAGTGAACTCAACCGCGTTCGTTCACTTAAATAGGCCGTGTTATCCCCGGTAGTTACCATCTTCCGGTTACCTCTTATGAATTAAACACAACAACAATTACGGATTGCAGGTCTAATTCAGATTTAGATATGAAAAGCCTAATCTAGGTGATCAATCTAAACAAGACTAACACATCATGGTGAATTATTCAAAATAATACAAGCAATTCCAAATAGATATTAAAATCCTCAACCATATAAATCAATCAAAACATAGTCAATCTTAGGGTTCGACTTTCCCAAAACTAGAATAAAGGAACTCTCTAACATAATAAATAAAAGTAAATAATAATAAAAGAGAGATTAATTATCTCTCTCGTGTACAGATGCGGCCTCCCTCCGCGTTTGATCGGGCTTCTTGCGTTTTTCTCTGTTCTGCTCCGTGCGTCTCTTTTTATTTTCTCCTGTGCGTGAATATGGCGGCTCCAAAGCTTGCGTGAATAAATCTTTTTTCTACAGGCTACTTGTATATGTATTGCGGCCTCTTTTTTAATTGGATGTGAGTGCTACCAAAATATTTTCTCCCAAAAAGTGGTTGCGTGGAAAATAAATTCCTCCAATAAATCTTCAAGGCTGGTACGGGCTCTGCGTGAATGTCCAATTTCCTTTTTAGTTGATAGACTAAATTGGCTTAATTATTTTAATTAGGCCATTATCTCCATGATTTGCAAATATGGGCCTTAATTGGGTTGGTATGGGACACCCCGTATTGGACTACTCAATTCTCGTTCGGTGCCACGCCGTCAATAAAAATCCTCCAATATCCTGAAAATAAATCATAAATATATCATAGTACTTAAATTCATCTAATAAATAAATAAGTCAGAAAATATATATGTGCGATAAAATTAAGCATATAACAATACGCTAATAAATATATAAAGTACACATTTTTTCCGACCTATCAAATCTCCCCAAACTTAAACCGTTGCTTGTCCCCAAGCAACTTAGAACTATAAGCACGTAGATGGACAAGAAAACAAGTACGTGGAACTTTAGTCAGGATCTCGCAATTCTCACATAAGTGCATAGCTCAAATAGCTCGAAATAATTTATCCGGACTCAAGATTAAATCATATTAGGAACTCAAACATATCAAATATCAATTCAAGTGACCACCATAGTTCGTCAATCTCTATAATGAATGTATCGATCAATGCAACTCACGATACCCCTCTCTTTGCTAACAAGTCAAGTTCCCTTCCGTTTCCAGCCGATACACCAGTCGATCCATTTGTTCCACCAATTGGCTCATTTGGTCTTGTAAATTCCTTATGCGCAGTCCTTGGTTCTTGATGCTCGCCTCTTGGTTTGATGCTCGCCTCAACACTTTGCTGAAAGTTAAGAGTGTGAGCCGTCAACTCCTTCACCATATCCTCAAGTGACGGACCAAGATTTCTCTCAACAAATGGCTCACAATACTCTTGCCGAAACGTGTGAGCCTCTAGTGCCTTCACCATATCCTCTAGCGATGGGCTGGGATCTCGCGCAATTGGTGGCGCGGAGTACTCATGGAAAGAGTTTGAGTGCTCTCTCAAGCGGTATTCATACTCATTGGTATACATGTAGTCTTGCTCGTCCCTTCGCCAACCACTAGGTCCTCTTACGCCTCGATTTCCAATCCACGGGCCTCGTATCTCGCTCTCATACTGGTAAGGTGTCTGGTGGGTATAAAAGTCGTGATAATAGGCTGCCATCTCGAAAAGTTGCGGCAAGCTCGCAAATTATCGCCCAAAAATTAGTCAATCCCGCGAGTATGGGGGCGAACTATTCTGTCCAACAGAGTATGGAGGCGCCCAATATTCTGCAAGAAAACAAAAACAAAGAAAAAGAGGGGTAAAAGATGATAAAGGTAAAATCCTAAAAAAAATAAAAATAAAACTCAATTAGTACTCAAAAATCACAATTCAATAACGCCACTCCCCGGCAACGGCGCCAAGAGTTGGACGCGTGGGTTGCGTGATTAATTCTCCAGCCAATATATATTCCTTGCGTGAGTGGCGTGTTGGGCAAATAATTCCTAGGCTTCTATTATTCCTTCCTCAAGTCAAATAAATGTCCGGCCCAAAATAAATCCTTCAATTCCTATGCTTGCGTGTATGTCTTCAGGATTCTTTTAATAAACCAAATTCTTGGCCCAATTTCCAATAAGCAGTCCAAAATCATCCAATTAATGGGCCTTTGATCTTCTTTCACGTTTGGGCTTAAGTTGGGCCTTTGATCTTCTTTCCGTAGCCAAATAAATTTGTTAAATACTCTATAGATAATTCAAACAATAAAAACAAACTATTCATTATAAAGACTTAATTTAAAAATAATTATTCATTGTAAATTTGCATTTGTATTTTTTATTAATTATTTTCTCTTTCCTCTTTGTGAGTAACATGTTTTTTGTTATAAATGAATACCTAGTTTTTGCACATAATTATTATTGTAAACTTGCATTTTAATTTATTATTAATAATGTTTTTATTTTTACCATTTTTGGAGTGAGTTCCTTTTCTTATATCCTACATTCCCTAGTTTCTATTAAAAATACATGACACTATTGCATTACATAACTATTAAAAGAAATTTCAAAGTGCTTTTTTTTCAATTTATTTTTTCAGATCCCTTAACACAATCTCATTTATTTTCGATTGTTTGTGTAAAAAAAAATTCAAGATAAAATGTTGATCCCGAGCAGCGTGAACGTCCCCATTGTTGAGGTCTCCGTGATGAAAAACCGGTCGTCCAAGCAAAAAATCTGATGAGGAAAGGAGATCAGAAAGATAGGCGAACGACGTATAGGTCGGGTCTTTCTGTGAGCAGTAAGCAGCAGATCCTCCCCTTAATATTCACCTTCAATGTTTTATTTTCACACATGGAGGCTCGATGTAATTGATCACCATAATCTAATGCGTCGCCTGCAATGCATGCAAGAAAGCAATCACATCAAGTGGGCCTGATAATGGAGAGTGGAAGCAATAGCTTCACGTCTAATAGCTTCCTAGATAAATCGGAAAATTGTGTTTTCATCATGATATCCACATATAATATAATATAACAAATAAGTAAATTTCTTATAGTGTGATATTTGATATTTATGTTGCATATAATATCGATGAAACTTTGAATTTGTTGCGCCAATTTATGATTCCCCATTGTATAACTTCGAACACATATATATTTGATGCTTATTTTTTAATATTTATATAGTGCCACAACGTTCCATTGATGCACAAACTCCATCATGATGTAATGTTCACATACGTTGAGAAAATGTACATTCTCTTCTAATTTAAATGTTCTTTTACTCAGTTATTTAAAATATTAGTTTATGACCAAAAGCTATCAAAATATCTACACACCAAATAACCAAATTAGAGTTTTTTTGGTTGGTTTTGCCTCTTTAATCTGACTTAATTAAATTTCTCATTCAATATAAAATCAACTATAAATAATAAGACTTCATCATATAACTAATTTATCAATATATATATCAATTTATGTATAATAATTTAAATATACTATCCTATTTTTGGAATCATATACGAAATGAAAATCATATAGATAAATTATACTTTATGATGATTATCCATTTTAATATAAAAAGAGCACCAATGGTGACGTAGCGAAAGCGTAACGAAAGAGATAAAAACAAGAGAAAGAATCTCAAATATTTTTATTAATCAAATTCAATCAATTGAAACACAAGAGTATATAAGTCTTTAAATAGAACTCGTAAAAAACTCTAATCTTGTCTAACAAGTAATGGATAATTAAATATCTTTCCTACCAATTAAAAGACTAGAATAATTAAATAACTTTACTAGATCATGTTTTTCTTCATCTTCATCATTTTCCCCCTCTTGAAAAGGAATTGCCATCAAGTTCGACGCAATCTCGTCTCTACAGCATATCGGTCCAACCTCTTCAATTCAACGCCCAACTGATCTAGAGCCTTCATCCTATTAACTTTGATACCAATAACATATTCTATCACAAGAATTTGTGGGGTTGTAATTCCCAATATATGGTTGGAAGTATGTCGTTGAAATTTTTACCAAAATACTCATCGTTAGCCGCTTCCTTGGTGTGGTCAATTTCCTCGTCATCAAAAAGAGGAAGACCATCATATTTGGTCGACACCAAGTCATAAAAAAGAGGCAGACTCTCATATTAGGCCGATCCCGTTCCATAAAAAAGAGGTGGACTCTTATATTCAGGCGACCCCTCGTCATAAAAAAGAGGCGATCCTTCATATTTGATTGATCCCTCATCATAAAAAATAGGTGGACTCTCATATTTGAGCGACCCCTCGTCATAAAAAAGACACAGACCCTCATACTCGGTCGACACCCTGTCATCCAAGAACTCGGCGGCTTCCAAGCCGTTAGAGAATTCTGAGATCTTGATCCCGAAAGAAGTCTCCCATCGTCGATCATCAGTGAAGCAGCCCTCGTCCCATGCAACCATATTACCAAAAGGATATACCTCAGATATGGTGACGTTTAAGTCACCACCATCGACAAACGAATGAGGCGATCAGGAGTGAGGTGCCCAGCGTGTGCCCCGACTACGTCCACCGTTCATTCCCCTGCGGCTGCCACATCATCCGTCCAGTGCGGTTCCCCTGTTTGCCATGAAAAATGGTACGTAGAGCCAATCGGATGTCCTTGAGCCCCGCGACTAGATCTGCGACGTGGCGTCTGCCTCGTGTTGGCATACCAACGCCTTACACTACCGTCCCAATGTCTCGATCAAAGCGTCGCGCCTATTGTCAGCATCATTTCATACTATTTTGTGGATATCAACTGATGTAGCGACGATTGGGGATATCGCATGGCGCGCCGCTCGCGATCGCTACCATTGTGCATCACCGATGGCGATTTTGGGACACCATGTCCTAGGAGAACCCTTTCGGCTATCGAGCAGCCGGGGGTGGAAGACGATGCGTCGACAATCACCGTTGAGAGGTGTCTTTTTTATTTGATATTTTGGGACTCTTCGGGGGCTTGGATGCAGTGAATGTTCTGGATTGGCTTGCCTATGTCAAAAGTGTCCTCGAGTACAAAGAGGTGTCGGACGACCAGAGTCCTCCAGAGTCCTCTCCTCATTGTGACGCGCTGCGCGGCAGGGCGACCGCTTGTTTCTCTCATTTACCATATTTTCAAACAAAATATGATTATGAGAAATCTCAAGATATTTCGTTGGGGCTCAAAATTTTTCTCCATCTTCAAACATACAAC